TAGCTATATAATAGCGAAAGTCTTGCGACTTTTACATCCGTAGGAAAGAGATTGTACGCTGGAAAATAATTCATTACCCATTAAGCTGCGTAGATGTTTTTTTTAATGCTATTCAAGGCTGGAAAGTGAGGGTTGGGCAGATACAACTCGGATATGCCGTCCTGGGTAAGACGATAATCTACATCCGCGTCCTGAGTAAGACGATAAACTACGTCCAACAGCAAGGCCTCTTTGATCAGAAGGTTTTGAGGAGCGTGGAACCATCTCTTAATTGCTGGGGTTCCCAGGTCCACCCTAACCCGGGGTGGTAGCACCTGTTAAGATCCCAGCTATGATAAATAGTTAACCCCCAAACTGGGGTCAAAATACTATGAAAGTGTAAAAATAGGTTTTAATACCAGAAATACTCTGTAAAAAACATTGCCAGTAATATATTTTTGAAAAAAAAAAAAAAAGATATTACCAGCAATACATTTTTGTCAAAAAGATATTACCAGCTATTCATTTTTGAAAAAAAAAGATATTACCAGTTATACATTAAAAAAAAAAAAAGATGTTACCAGCTATACATTTTTGTAAAAAAACATATTACCAGCTATTCATATTTTTTTAAAAAGATAATACCAGTTATACATTTTTGAAGAAAAAAAGATATTACCAGTTATACATTTTTAAAAAAAAGATATTACCAGTTATACATTTTTGAAAAAAAAGATATGACCAGTTATATATTTTTGAAAAAAAATGATATTACCACTTATACATTTTTGAAAAAAAAAGATATTACCAGTTATACATTTTTGAAAAAAAAAGATATGACCAGTTATACATTTTTCAAAAAAAAGATATTACCAGTCATACATTTTTGAAGAAAAATATTACCAGAAATAAAAAAAAAAAATTCTCGTCATTAAATAACCCATTGAGATTGATATGTCGTAAAATAAGACCAAACCAAATCAAACCAACCCAACCCGGATATGGCAGCAATACTCCGTTTTTTGTCTGATTAGACTCTTGTAAACAGGCACGAGAAGTCAGGTACTTTATGGAGCGAAGGAACGACCATTTTACCAGCATCTTTAACGACGAATCGTATATATGAGTTCTACCTCATATTTGGGGTGAAACTTGTGCCCAAGTAGACGTTCAAAGCGAGGAGCTTATTTGCGTGTACAACTTTTTATCATGATAGGAGAAAACCCACTTGTTTAATTAGGTTGAATTAGTTTTTTTTTCTTAGAGACAAGTATAACAAAAGTGAAGTAAAAATATATTAAAAAAAAAGAAACTGAAGTACAAATTCTTGCATGGAGATTATGCAATCCGAGTACTGGTCAAAATCCGAAGTTGCTTATAAAAAATGGTAAATAGCTATAAGAATAAAGATTCCTTCTTACCGTAAATTTTAATTTCAGAATCGAGGTTCTAAACAAGATCCAAAGAAATATTTGAAATGTAATCGGTCCTGAGTTGGCTTATCGACTTCAGGCACACTCTCACTTCCCTGGTGGCTACAATCTTCAAAAATCTAAATACGATGTCAATCGCCATCTTCTATTGCCTTGTCTTTTTTTATTTCCCCAATGACCCCTACATCCACTCTTTTCTCTCACTTTCACTCTCTGTAACCCCCACTACGTGCTAGCGGCACTCCAGCCTTGCTTGGGGTGAAATGCTTTAAAAATAAAGATTTTTCGCCGAAGTTTAACAAACATACCAGAAAGAAAAAAAAAACGGGATATCAAATTGGCTGTTTCCCTTTATAAGTATATTACTTTTTACTCTGGTGGAAATTTTTATTCTTTAAAAAGCTATTTTTACATTTTAATAACAACCAAGGCACATGAAACTGGAATTATATATATATTTTCTCCAGACATTTTGACAACAAAAATGTTAAACTGTCTTTAATCATTAGATTGTGTATTTACAAGAATTATTTTATATTTACAGGATTGTAAAAATATGTAAACCAACTACAATGTAATATTTATTATTTACCATATTATAAAGAAATAACTATGGGAAAAAAAACTTCATCTTCTATCTATAAAAGGCAAGATTTGTGTGTGTGTGTGTGTGTGTGTGTATGTGTGTGTGTGTGTAATGAATGCACGCCTGCAATTTTCGACGAATTTGCACTAAAATTTACATGCACATGCTCCAAGTTAGCGGGAAGGCCAAGACCGACGTTGCATTTCCCAACTCCCATCGATAGTGGAAATAATAGATTTTTTCAAGCTTCTACGGCAGTTTTCGTATAGTTTGCTGCCATTTTCTACTGGCCAGAGTGAGAGCTAATAGCTGGCTGCCACGAATAGGCAGGAAGATTCTATTGGTCTGCGTGAGAGCCAACAGCTGACTGACACGAATATTAACTAGCATGCTAGCATACAAAAAAAATCGATAGCTTCATTCGTCACAAGTGGGAAAAATTTAAATCTGCATGGCACTTTACTCCAGTTGGCCAATTCGCTTGCTTAAACTCAACGTTGATTCTGATTCCGCAGAACTGGGTTGGGTGTGAAAAAGTATTTTTTGTTACGAGTCCTTTTTTAAAGCTGATCGTTTTGTGTTCATTTTGTTTAGTTCTTTTTTCGTAACAGATTTAATGTTTAGTATAGAGCTCAGAAAAAATTCGCAGTGTGAGATAGGCAAGAAGTAAGGCATGTAGCAACATCAGCACGGAAAATGGCACTCCTTTAAAGGCAAGGAAGGGCAAAAATATTTTAAGTCAAGTGATAGCGATTGCTGTATGAGTCGTACGATTCTTGAATCAATCACGGGCAACGCCGGGCCATGCTGCTAGTGAATTATAAAAATGATTGTGAATTATAGAAGAAAATGTAAATAGATGCATTAACTGTAATTACATTTTATGTAAAAATGCATTTTCCGGACACATCTTTCATTTGCACTTACCCCATAAATTCACTAAAATAGGTAGAATGCATCTGGATTTATGCGTTCTTGTCCTAAAGAAGTGACAACGAAAATGTTAATTTATTTATTTTGATTGTTTATTTAAAAGAGAAAAATTGGCAAAGTTTAACAAACGCACCGGCAAAAAGAGAATCGTATATAATAATAGCGGCGTCAAGAGAAAAGCTGTCTTTTCGATACTGCCTTCTTTTGCAGGTACATTTCTTGGACATTGCCGATATTTCTTTCGTTATTGAGATTGGGCGCGTGGCCGACTAGTTAGAACGTTTGCTTTCTGGTTTGGGAAAGCGTGCGGAGATTGTTTGAAAGTGCCTTAAAAACCGTAGCATGTCTTGATCCAAGCTTTGTGAGTGGGCAGACGAGATCGTTCGTCGCTGGTTGTATTAGCACGCAGTTACAAATCATCGTGACCGAAGGTTTGAGCGTACTCGCCTGTTTTAAACCGTTCATCGCACCAGTCACAGGCCATCCTGACCAAGGTTTTCAGCACAATGCCTTTGTTGATCTCACCTCTCAGAAACTGCAATTAAGGTCCGCTCTGCATAGTTGCAGTAGAAACCACAGTTGGGCTTTGTGGGTAAGCAAGCAGAGAGTTGGCTAACTAATTTCGCCGATTGACATACTTGGACGCAGAGCGGTCAGCCATGATTGAGCTGAATACTTTCATCTTTTCCAGTAAAAGATACATTTTAAAGCTTCTCTTTAGTATAACCGAATTGTCAGCAAAATTATTCTTGTACTTGGGGGGGAGGCATTATTAAATAAAAATAATTCCAATTATGAAGATATACAAGATGGATAATGATTGACCCTGGACAGGAAGCGTTTTAGATTGTATCTATCAGGAGTTGTTCTATAAAGGAATTGGTTCTTTCAAAGAATCTGTCCTAATGTAATTTTCTTCTTACCAGTGGAATAAGAAGAGAATGAGGATGATTCGAACATGTGTACGTGACGTAGGGAGCCTAGCTGTGAAGGTCTGAACTGGTACATTTAAGGAATGTAGATTGCCAGAATATTCTTGTCAGCCATGATTGCCTTGAAAACTTTCATCTAAAGCTTTAATTTTAAAGCTTCACATTAGTATAGTTACCCTTACTTTTTCACGGAAAAACAGCATAGTATGATGAAAAAAGACCCCAAACACATTAAAACAAAGTTTTGTCATCAAATATTAGTTTTTATTAAGATGAAAGAACAAAGAAAGTTTCTATTATTAATTGAAATTTTTTAATCCTTTCTATAAGGTTCGAAATTTTGGTTAAAAATCTTGTTTTGTTTACGTCAGCGGCCGACGTATTGATAACGATTATGATTTTTATTATTATTTTTATTTTATTTTTTTGCTTTTTCTGGGGAAAACACAGAATTAGAAATTCTTTAAAAAATTAAATAACTGTTGGATTTTAATGAAACTTTCAGGAATTATTCAGAAATTAAGGAGATTATTATTGAAATTTTTTTTTTAAATTTTGGTAAAATTTATTTTTTTACATATGTTTACTTAATTATTTACTTTACTTACTTAATTTCATGAAATTTCAAGAAATAGCGGGGATTTGTTTATTAGTTAAAAGCAGGACTCATTGGAAAAAGTAAATCATCATTTTTTTTTTTTGTAAAATAGTTACCCCTTTCACCGAAAATCTGCTCTGAACTGTAAAATAATAAATGCAATAAAACTATGACATTATTAATTAGAATAAAAACTTTGAATTGCTTTGATAAATAAGATTTATTAAGGACACTATAGTCTTAAAAAGAATTTTTTTTCGATGAATAATTAATTTTTACAAGAATTGTATTCATTTTTAAAAATTAATTTTAAAACTTAGGCATCAATAATTCAGTGGACATACCTACTAATGTATAACCGAATTGTCAACAACATTATTCTTATTAAGTTATTTGGTGAGTTAACCGTGGATAAATAAAACCGCGGATAGAGTAGAAGTGTGTACATTGTTTTTTAAATTCTCTATTTTCACCCACTTTCGTTAGTTCTACAAACTTCCATGTTTACCATTTTTCTTTCGTTTCATTCTCTTACTCAGTGTCACTCCAAAAACTACTCCCATCACCCATAATAGCCATGAAAACTTCTATTCTCTTGACACGACTCTCTTATTTTCTATTGAGAGTTTTTTTTTTCTTTTCTTCTTCGTAGTGGCGCCTCTCGACTTTGCAGCCGTCCAAGTCAATACGCCGGAGTTGATCTGAATTTTATAGTCAAAACAATGTCAAAAAGTTGCTATATATTCTACCCTACTAATGACTGATTAGCCGCCATTGCCGACAAGAACTCATTTTTTAAACTTCATGACTGACGTTCCCGAAATTAACAAGCGTAGTGAAACATTAAAAAAAAAAGCACACAGGAAGAAAGAAGGAAAAAAAGAGAAAAATTTTTTTCGCCTCATTCCTCATCAGTTCAACTCTATTACAAGTGGTATTTCGACAAAATATAATATTAATCGTAACTGAAAAAGTGATAACATCCGGAGAACTTCGCCTCAATTCTTCTTCTTCTTCTTCTTCTTCTTCTTCTTCTTCTTATTATTATTATTATTATTACTATTATTCCGCACTGTTTTTTTGGTTTTTTTCAACCGGAGATCTTACATGATGGGTGTTCTCCATTTTGTCTTTCGACCTCAAGCAGATAACACCTTTCCCGGAATATTTATAATACCAAGCACCACAAACCTCTGGAACGATTGGATATTAGGGTTTATTATTATTATTATTATTATTATTATTATTATTTGTGTGAATGTTTCCTGCTTTGTATCCTCTAGAGCCATGTCTAAACTATGGTCCTTAGGCCCTATAAGGGAATTGTAATTTAATTGTTAGCCTTTTTCTTAGTATATGGAATGTTCCTTGTTAGGCGATCTTTTGGGCAACTTGTATGTTGATGTTACACTGTTCATAAAATTATCCATTCCTTTTCTCACGAGGCCCAGGGCTACAATTACTACTGGCACAGTCTCAGTCTTCATTCACCATATCCTGCTAATCTCGATCTCCATCTACTTGTATTTGGACAATTTCTCGATCATTTTCATGGAGTTGTTTCTCTCAGATGTCAATAAGCATACAGTTCCTGGATTTCTTGTCTTTTATGATAATATCAGACCTGTTGGCTTTTATTTCTCTATCAGTTTGAATTGGTATGTCTCAGAGGATATAGTTTGTTCTAGTTGCAGAATTTTTGATCCCAGCCTGGTCCCTCAATGGGCATCGTTTTCCTTGTTGACCCGCGTGGCGACTATGTGGTTTAGCAATATATTTGTTA